AGAGAACAGCTAGAGCAGGTTCCCCACCCTACCCCAAAAATTCTCATAAAATATGAGCAGGAATATAGTGGAAGATGTTCCTTCAAATATTGTGGCACAAGCTGAAAAATTTACCATCATGTTGAAAACAGTGGAACCAGTTAAGTAAGCACTTGTCTGAATTCAATTAGCTGCTTTCATTTGGATTTCTTTTGAATTGCTACATCCTGAAGGAACCTGTTATTGTCAGGCTTAGTGTCAAGATAAGAATCTTTACTGCATACTAAAATCACTAAAACAGTTAAATGTTTTCTGTCAGCCTGAAGGTGCAGTTCCCAACTTTATATATGCACTATAGTTTAATTCCAGACCTTACTACTCCCGCCTACATTGTTTAATAGTCTTTTCAGGTTGCAGTTCTTGACTTTAAAGCTAGATGTGGATATAACTCGCATATTTACTCTGAGAAATTCAGCGTCTTATCTCTCACTATTATGAGTACAGCAAATCAATGAGTATTAAGTGGTACTTGGAACATTTATGCTGTTTTCATAGAAAACTTTGTCAGTTTTTATTATTTAGGTCAGGGGCGTCAAACTCGTGTCATCATGGCATCATCACATGACATGTGACTTTATCCCCTTTGCTAAGCTGGGTGTGGGCGTGGCCAGTGTGTGACGCATCCGGCCTGAAAGTTTGACAGCCCTGATCTAGGTAGGTAGCCAGGCTCTCAAAAAAATGAATAAAAGCAATTCTCCCTTATCAAGTTTTAACCAAAGAGACAACTTCTTCTTAATAATTTCAGTCTCCTTTTCAGATTTTTTTAACATTTATATCTCATCGTTTTATTTTGTGATTACAAGTATGAAACTAAATATATTAGGCTGCATTTTTGCCCCAAATTTCTGGGATACTTCAAAGTTTGCCTACCGGTCCTTTGATGTGAGTCTTAAATGAGATTCATCAGCTGAAAGTTATTCTCCCATGTGCCCACACGGCTAGGATTTCTGACCTTCACGATGAGCATCATTTACACCTTTCCTCTCTATATCTTATGACATTTTCGGCAGTAAACCTCCATGAGCTAGAGGAGAGTGACGCAGATCAGAAGTTACCTCTGTTCATGTGACTGCTTCTATAGTATCTTCTTTGAAGCAGAAATTCAAACAGGCAATTCCAAGGGTTCCTATTCAGTTTATCTATCGTTGTAAGCAGCTGTCCATTTAGCATTTAACTTGCCAGAGGTAATATTTTATAAGCATATTGCAGTTTATATTTCAAAGCCTCACAGTTATATGTAGCTGTTACATAAATACAATGACTGTGCCTGGCCTTTTAGCATTTCAAATTTTGGTTACAGGTGTACTTAAAAATTCAAAGCATTGCATAGTCAATCTTTAAGACAAAAATAAAAATAACAGAAACATTATTAACATAGTACACTATTAGCATAAGGTAGCCATGGTACCATATTCGCTGCTTCAGAGAGATGTTTTATCAGAAAACATGGGTCATAGCAGAGTTAATAGGAGTAATAACCCAAGGTACTAAACATGGATGTTCTTCTAAATCACATCCTGACACCTTGTGTGTGGGTTTGTTTGTTTTGACAAATCATAATTTGTTCTAGAATTTATTATTCATTCACTGAATATTGAGGCCATCTAACTCCCAAAATTTTACATCATTAGCAATATATCAACAATTTCTATTAGCAAGACAATTTTGGTATTGAAATATTTATTGGCTTGATTTTCCAACTATTAAAGAGTAGGTAATTAGTCTACCATATAATATCTTTATATGCCAAAGTGAAATGAGATAAGCATTAGATGGAGGGTGCTTAAGACTTTGTTCTGATCAGATGGCTACAATCACTTGTATCAGCAGTCTCTGGTGGATATTTCTGAGATCAAAATATTTCCTGGTTTTTGACTAGTTGTTTATAGAAGCTCCATAAAAACTAAAAGCAATATTAAATTTGACATGCCCCTATTTAGTTCTGTGACTAAGATGAAGCATCACCAACTTTTATGTGTTATGATTCATTGGAATATTGTTTCTAGCGGTTAGGAAGAAGCAAACTTCTAAATAATGAGTGGTCATACTTTACAATGGGGAGGGGGGTTGGTCTTACCACAATGAATTTTATAAAACCCTACTCAAGCATCCTAAGTAGCTTTTTCAAATTTTAGAAACCAACATTTAGCAAATTGGAATAGTATAATCTCACTTTATAATTGACAATTTGGGTATACAGTAATTTGCATGCTATTTGTACTGTATAACTTTTGACAACAATACATTGATTTCTGCATGTACTAGTTTCTTATTGGTTTTGAAGACAAGGAGCTGGTTGTTTTGCACATCAACATCTACCTTAACAGTGGCTAAAACACCTGAATCTTTATTTTTTAAAATTTTGATGATAAACACTAATTTTAAAAAGAGAAAGAATCTTTGCTGTGTTTTTTTTAAATAATCTACCTTCTCTCTTTCATGGGCTGGATAATAGGAGAGCCTTAAAATGAGGCAATAAAGATATTGGGGTTGCCCAAAGTCCTTGCTTCAAAGAGTCATTCTCATTCCAGACTATAAAAGCTGCAGGAAATTGAGTACCACATTTACAAAATGGTTAGAATCATTTCGGCCCCTTCGTTTTATGATAAACTTTGTTGTTATTCAAGGCAGGAGTTTCATGGAGCAGAGATGGATAATGTAAAAATAATCAGGGAGGAGGCCAGGCTTATTCCACACAGGCAGCAGGCATACTGTTGCTATCATGCTGTTGGCTGTCCTATCACTTGATCTCCCTGAGGTATTCATTCCATTGATTTCTGAAAGGGGAAAGGCATGCTGTTGGGCAAGGCAATGATGCAAGAAACTGGGCTCATCTATGGCTATGGTTAATAAAGGCTAGCCTAAGAGCAATTAAGGTAGCAGCTGAAGAAGGGGACATATATGCAGACCCATTAAACTGTTCTGAGCTCCTATGTATTATGTTGTGACCTAAATTAGAGTGCCGTGTTTATTATTATTATTAAGATTTTAAAAGAGCCCTGGTAGTCCAGTGGTTAGAATGCATTTCTGCAAGTTACTTCGACTGCTTGCAATTTGGGAGTTCGAATCTCACCAGGCTCAAGGTTGACTCAGCCTTCCATCCTTCCGAAGTGGATAAAATGAAGAGCCAGATTGTTGGGGGCAAAATGCTGATTCTGTAAAACCACTCAGAGAAGGCTGTAAAGCACTGTGAAGTGGTATATCATTGTTAGCGCTATTGCTATTATTAAGGTTTTAACTGGCTTTCCAGTAAGGTGGGGGGGAGATGATTTCCTGAAAGCAGCTTTTATAGATCCCGTTCGGATCTGCTAATTAACCCTCAACACCTCCCCCCCCCTTTTTTTTTTTTACCATAAAAAACTTTAAGCCGGAAATACTTTTTTTTTTTTTTTTTTGGCTCTTTAAGACTGTGAAATTAGCTCCTAATTGGTTTCCACCGCTTGCGGGGTTCCTTCGGCAGAGCCGTCATCGTTGCAATACGGGGGATCGGGAGGGAAGCCTTCCAGTAAGAGAGAGAGAGAGAGAGAGAGAGAGAGAGAGAGACCGGCGGGTCACGTGGTCCCGTTGCCATGGCGTTCTCTTGACCTGATGAATAGGAGCCCTTAACAAGGGAAAGGGACAGGCCTGGGGGGGAGGAGGGGGGGAGAGGAAATCGTCACGTTATAAAACAGCTCTGGCTGCTAATTAGGAAAAGTAGCGTTTGTGCCCCCAAACTGTGCTCTTAGGAATTTCCTGATGGCTGAAGGTGGAAAGGGAAAGAGAGTAACGATCATTGACGATCATCATTTCATCTTGGATTCTCTCCCGTTTTAGTGGTAACGCAGCTTGCTTCAAAGGACATGGTTCTGTTTGACACTTGGCACAGTCTGTTGCTAAAGACAGCAATATCTGTGAAAAGCAATTGCTATTCCTATTTTTGTTTTTTTAATCTCTCTCTCTCTGTTCAACTGCACATTTTTTTCTGGAAGGGGATACCCCTTCAGCCTGACAAACATCAAGGTGCTTTAAGTTAACTTGCTGTAAACATTTGGATTAGATCTTCTGGTTCCTTCATGCAGCCACCCGTATCATTTGTATGTGTGCATGTGTGTGCGCGTGTGCACGCACATGTGCAATTTCCAACACCACAGTCCTCATGCTAGGCTGGAAAGCAATGCTTGCTGACGTGTAGTCACGAGTACCCAGGATTGCTGAAATTTTAGACTTTCACTGACAAAGGCTCCAGGCTGTTCCTTGCTATTGAGAGATTTCTCCTTCTGATCTGCAAATTCTGCATAGGAGATTTCTTGTTTTGCTGTGCAAAATCTTCCAAAAATGCCTGACTATTTGTTATCTGTATCTTGGGGATACATCAAGGTGGGTTTAAATAATAAAAAAGAAATAGTCAAGTTGTCCTATATACGTCAGATTCTATATACGTCAGATTTGTGTTACTATATATCATAAACAAAAAAACAGGTTTATCGCTAATCAGTAATAAACTCATGCTGGATTAAAATCAAATAACTATAAAATGTTAATAGGGTGACATGCAAACTGACAGCATTGTTTTATGTTGAATAGCAATATATATAAACTATATAAACATGATACTAACAGAATCTTCCTGTCAGAAATATCTGCAAGTTGAAATTGCCTTTATAAGTAGAAAAATGACAGACATATGACAGGTCTTTAAAGGACACCTAAAAGTATGAAATAAAAAATTGCTATAAAATCTAAATAGTTTTCCAGAGTTATGTAAAAGTGTAATTACCGTTTTTAAATGACATTTTAAACCTTAAACTTAGATAACAATGGATGATTGTATGACAACTAGAAAATATTTTTTTTTATTTGTGTGTCATGTATTTCTGACTGTCTTGTTTAGTTGTCTGGTTTATGTTCTAGTTAACATGGATTTTAATATACCAGTAAGCAGACTGTCTTAACCTGAATTTTTATGTTCTAATTATCAACAGTTCAAGAGAATGTTAAACCGGGAACTGACACATCTTTCAGAAATGAGCCGATCAGGGAATCAAGTCTCTGAATATATTTCGAATACTTTCCTAGGTATGTTAATTAACATTGGATTTATTTCCTTGTAAAAACTCTTTGAGTAAACCATCGCTCAAAGCCAACCTCAACATTTCAGTATCTTTAAGGAAACAATCTCCGTGGTAGTGAAAGGATCTCTTTTCAGGGAAGGAGATTGTGGAAACTGGAAGTTATCTAGGAAGCTATAAACTTAACAGGGCAAAATGTGGTGGAACAAATTCTTTGATAACCTTTCCTCATTTGCATGCTCTCCAGCTGAGAGTAATTCAACTCTCTGACTTTCAAGAATTCTCAGCTCTGGCCATGGAGGCTAAGGAATGCTGGGAATTGAAGTCCTCTCAAGAGTACAAAACTAGGAAAGGTTTTTCAATGTCAATGTTACAGATGTACATACCATAACCACGTGTCCATAAGCCTGGGCAGTAACATGCAGAATCAATTATAACGTAATAGTGCAGGTAAATATTTGTTAAATTTATATAGCTGCCTATCTCACTTCCATGACTCTGTGTGCCTTACAGTATTAATTTTATCGTTAACAATATTTACAAGTAGAGAAGCATTCAGGAAGATTGTTATTTAGCAACTATTAATGCTTTCCAGGATTCTGGAAGGGGTAGAGAAGTGCTTGCTTGACAAAAGATCGTTTTTTCAATAAATTTTACTCTAGCTTAGAGCAGATAATCATGGATCGTTTTCAGCTAGTCATGGTTTCTCAGCCTATCTTACCTGACATTATTGGGCAAAATAAGTGAAGGGAGTGGTCAGTGTTCTGATTAGTTTCTGAATAAAAAGCAGGATATAAATCTAATTTTAAAATAACAAAGGAATGAATGCTTTCTTCATTCTGTGTCTGACAATTTTGAAAACAATTCTGAAATTCTATATTGGTATCTGCCCATTTTCAAAAGCTTGCCAGGTACAAAATAATCTATTTGGATCTAACCTAATGTGTAATAAGTATAAGACATTAATTTTTATCCTTTTTTAATACAGACAAGCAGAATGATGTGGAGATTCCTTCTCCTACACAGAAGGACAGAGAGAAAAAGAAGAAGCAACAGGTTATGACACAGATCAGTGGTGTAAAAAAGTTAATGCACAGTTCCAGTTTGAATAACACTAGTATTTCAAGATTTGGTGTGAAAACAGAAAAGGAAGATCATTTAGCTAAGGTCAGTGTGATTCATAATATTTGTATTTTTTAAGGAAGAATGCAAATACATATGTAAACTAGACATATTAGTCATACTCCACAAATCCTTTTTACTTTTCCATCTGTTTTGAGGAGATTGCTTTGCAAGACAGAAATGGTAATAATAACTTCCTCCACAGAATATGTTGCTAATTACTGAAAATAAAACTGTTGAAATTAATTTTGCTAAAGGAACAGTTTAATATGTCCCCATCCCTCCCCCAATGATCTTGGCAATTTTCTGCTGTGTTATGATGGGGAAAATTTTACTCAAAGGTTTAGATACAGCTTTGGAAAATAACAATGCAAGTGGCTTAGGACAAATATGTTCTTAAGAAAGCTCTAATCCTAAAGCATTAGAAACTATTGATAAGAGGAAAAATATATTGATACAATTATCTGGAAGATTTCAAATTAATTTCTGAACAATCCCAGCCCTGAAACTGGTACAGATCAACTCCCAATTAAACAGTTTCAATGGGAGGGATAAGAAAAAATGGGAGATGGGAAATGTCACACTTTCAGAAACTAATATAATAAATTATTTCTCTTTCATATGTCATATTTTGGGATAACTGTAATTCTAATTGTAGTTAGAATTTGTATTCTTAGGATTTAAGAAAAAAGTGATTTGATATCTCTAAATAAATGCAATTATAATCTACATATGGCCCCATTCTCCTTGTGATGGCATTATGCAGTCATTATTTTTTATTTTATTCTTTAGGAGCTAGAAGATCTGAATAAATGGGGATTGAATATATTTAATGTTGCAAGATACTCACACAGTAGACCTCTCACTTGCATTATGTATGCTATTTTCCAGGTTAGTAATTGTATTATTATTATTATTATTATTATTATTATTATTATTATTATTATTATTATTATTATTATTATTATTATTTTCATTTTCCAATTGCTATATCTTAAAAACAGCACTAATATCATCTTTTCTCAGCAATAAAGGTTTTTAATCCTTCTCTGACTATTTGCAATTTCTATCACTCTGTACAGGAAAGAGATCTACTGAAGACATTCAAAATCTCATCAGATACCTTTATAGCTTACATGATGACTTTGGAAGACCACTACCACACAGATGTAGCTTACCATAATAGTCTCCATGCAGCTGATGTAGCCCAGTCGACTCATGTTCTTCTGTCCACACCAGCTTTGGATGTAAGTTGTTTCCCTCCACCCCTGACAAACAATACTTCCAAAATAATTTACTTGCACTTGGTAATTTGTTATAGCCTTATGCTTTAATTAATAAACTGACTGTAAAAATAAGTAAAATTTCATGCACCGTTCATTTGCTTTGATACCTCTGGCACAGTACAACTGTTTCTGCAAGTTCCTTCATACAAGGCATCAATCAACCAATTTCTAACCTGTTACATAAATAAAATAGGTGAGCTTATAGAATTTCACAGTGTAATCTGTCATCTTGATATAAGTCCATAGATTGCTTGAAATGAACAAGACAGTATACAAAATCCCATAATATTTTAGAAGATTACAAAGATGTGATGAGAAGTAGACATCCATTTCGCAAATCTTCTGTGGTATCCTATTTAATGTTCCTTTGCTTATTCTCAGTATGGAATCTTATATTCCTTAATATGTCTTTATGTCATCTCATTAATATAACAGCTAGATTTGCATTAATTAAGGTGTATTGTTTAGTTCAGATTTATTTATTTCAAGTTTATTGCTAAGAATATGAATGTGGGTTTACACTTTTGAGATAAGATCGTATTAATAGCCTCCTATGCAATATTCTGCATTTTTTGATATTTAAAAAAAATACTTGGACATGAGTTGCAAAACTTATTTTTTTACTGTTTTGTTGAGGATGTATTGGAATTACTGCATCCCCACAAAAATAAGTATCAGAACACAGATACATAGCCAAATGAATTGGCAGTAGCTAATAATTTTTTTTTTAAAGATTTCAGTTCTTTATGTACAGTTTTAATTGCACATTTTCTTCTATGGAGGGTGTTAATAAGTTAACAGATACTTGATGAGCTATGTTTATCATTGAAGTCGATGTGTTGATCTTTTCTGTTTCTAGGCTGTATTCACTGATTTAGAAATTTTGGCAGCAATTTTTGCAGCAGCAATTCATGATGTAGATCACCCTGGTGTCTCCAATCAGTTCCTTATTAATACAAGTGAGTTATGTGCTCATTTAATGTGCATGCACATTTGCATACAATGGGTCTCATGCTCTCTTATTAAGAATAAAGAAAATCTAAAATACTCATTAAGAAGTGAAGTTGAGAATATCAGAGTTGACTTATCAATAGAGGCCACATCTGCACATTACAAAGTTTCCACATTTCCATCCTACTTAATAATAGTACACAGAAACAAGCAAAACTAACCAAGTACATAATCAGTAAAATTATACTAAACTTATACCGTGGGAGTTTATCTGAAGTGAGTTGAGAGTATCCTAATGGATTAATAAACCAAATTTTACAATTCATACCAAAAGCTTTTGAATACTGGCTGCTGGAAAACTAGCAATAAGGGAGGACTGATTTTGAGATTCCTTTATGCTGGGTGCAGTTTGAATCCAGATTTTATATAGATCTTTCATCTGATCTTTCAAATGTTTTAAAAAGGAATGTTAATTAAATAAAATTTAAAAGATGTGTCCTATTAGCTGGAATAAATGAAAAGAACATTATTTGCAAGGATATTTTACATAATTACATTAGTATATAATGTAAGTAGTCAAATCTTATAAAACAGGCGATACTGTAATTATCTTTTGTGGTAAATTACTTTTAATTAATAAATTCTAGGTCTGAGGCCTTTTATTTCAGCTACCATTGAATTATTTTTAAAATTCTTTAATAATTTTAAAGAATTCTTTTAATTATTTCATTTATTTTATTTACATTCTCTTTTAAAATAAATTATTTCAAGCATAATGAAGGATACCTTAGCTATAAAAGCCATTGCTTAGATATAAAATCATATATGGAATTTAGTGGAGTCCTTTTAAATATATCACTACTCTCTTATTTAGATTCTGAACTTGCTTTAATGTACAATGATGAGTCCGTCTTGGAAAACCACCATCTTGCTGTTGGTTTTAAACTTCTACAAGAAGAGCATTGTGACATCTTCCACAATCTGACCAAGAAACAACGTCAAAGTCTCAGGAAAATGGTGATAGACATGGTAAGAATGTGATTCTGTATAACATTCTAGCTGTTAAAACAGAAAATGACGCTTTGCTCCCAAAAACAAAAAATAAAACAATCTTTCTCCTTTCATGTAGGTCTTGGCAACAGATATGTCCAAGCACATGTCACTTCTGGCAGATTTAAAGACGATGGTAGAAACTAAAAAAGTTACAAGTTCTGGAGTCCTCCTGCTAGATAACTACACTGATAGAATACAGGTCTGTTTGGGAAGCTTTCTTGCTGTCATACCTTCTTTCTCCCTCACTCTCCCTCCCTCCCTCCCTCTCAATCAACCTATGAGCTTCCCATGTGATACATTCTTACTCTGGTGCAGGGAACTAGTCTTTCTGTAGCACATGTATATTTCTTTTAAGGAAGGCCACTTTTAACATAGCAGTGAATAAGGCAGTGTTTGAATAAAGGAAAGAGGATTGGGGGAAAATTGGGAATTTTAGAAGGAGTCATCTGGATAGTACTGAGGCTCTCAGTATAAATGTCTGCCTATGTTGCTACTGTTAGGGGGTGAACCAATAAGCACTTTCGTGTATTGTAAATAATATAATCACACAAATTACTCCTCAATGTAAGAATTTAATAGTCTGTAGTGGCTTGAATTCTTTCCTCCAAACTATTGGGAGGAAAACAAGATCTTACAGCATAAGGAATACAATCTACAATTTAGAATTCCCTTGGATTAATAGTGTGGTAAATGTTGTGCAATTCACACAACATGTTCCTTACATGCTATGGATTAAGTATTGGTCTCAGCATGGGGAAATGTTAATAAGGATATTTTACTTAAAAATAGGGAATTCAGTTAAATATTTAATCTAGTTGCCTATTTAATGGCAATAGACCAGGAACATTTATCTCATTATTTTCCTGAATTGAATCTCTCTATATTTTTAGAATAAGATGCATATTAAGATGTCATTTCAGGAAAATATTTAAAAGGATGTTTAAAATCATCAAATAGGACACAAAGCAGTGCAAATGTTTGAACAGATTTCTTCTCTCTATGAATCCCTTTTATTTTATGGTTATGCAGATTCTAATCCTTTGTGCTTCATATATTCATGCCACAGAGTACAATTTCCAGAACAGGAGAAATTAACTTGGTGACAATATTTAGTGCAGAAGATACTTGTTGCTCTCCTGTTTAATGGTAACCTCACTGGTACAGATTTCCCATTTTTAACATGGCAATAGTTAATCATTAAAAGCAAATCCCCTTAGTGTGATAATGGTTACTCTTTTGTTCATAAAAATATCCTATAGTGAAAAATTAAACTGAAGAATTTTGTACCAGCCTGGAATGACAATCCGACCCAAATATCTTTAAATTATATCTTTTCATTAGTGTGGCAAGATGTCTTTGGGGCCCTTTTGATGCTTAGTTAATGTGACAGTAATTTGGTTCTTCCACAGTAATTTGGCTCTTATAATGCTGTTGTGCAGAAAAAACTACCAGCTTAAAGAAGAAATAAATACAATGTCAACCCGTACTAAGCCTCAACCCTGAAGCAGAACAGAGATTCTGTCCACACTCAAAACCCCAGAAGTAGAGGGAAGACATAGAGACTGAGAAAAATACTTTCTTTGGAGCTAGTAGCTAAACACTGTGGGGTCAGAGTTCTGGCACTAAAAAAGCTATCTTTTATTGCTTCTCTCCCCTCACTTCTGCCACTGATGACAAGAGAAGCCAGGGAGAAAACAGACCTTTTCCCGCAATCCTAGTATTCCCACTATTTTTTGTAACCAAGAGGGAGCAAATGGATCTTCTGTATCAGTTCTCCAATCCTATGGCATTATTCTTTGGTGGAATTGGAGAAGTGATGGCAAGGGAAGCACGATGCTTTGAAGAAGTGGGCAGTTGTATTTGGAGGTGCGGTTTCCTTATGCATAAGTTTGTTGCCACCAGCTGGCTGCAAAGATGGAATGTCTTTTTAGCTCTGCTTTTCCCATGCCAAAAAGCAAACGGTTCTGAAAATCAGTAGCCTGCCATAGCCTTCATGTGTCCAATAGGAGCAAAGCAGGCTCTCACCCTAAAGTTCCCTCAGAGTTTACAACTGACTTAACCTTTAACATAGTTTCTGCTGGCAGGAACTTTTTTTTTAAGTCACTTTTAAAGCAAAGGAAGAAAGGTGGAAGCTTTCTTTCAGAGTAGATCTGGAGTGAAGAAGAATGTCTTTATGTCCTCAACAAAAGGCTATTGGTAGAATTGTCTTCACAGTGCAGCTAGCAGAACACAAGTTCTAAGAATTACTTCGGGTAATCCTCCAGTTTAAACGAGATTTGCCAGGACAAAAGAAACATATCTAGGTAAATACTTTGTATAGACTTCAGTGGACAATCAGATACCATTTTATATATGCCTAACCTCCTTGAATCTGGACCATACATTCTTCATAAAAGTAATGAAGGCTACGTGTACTTATTTTTCATTATATTTTTTATTTGGGTTAATTTTATTATATATTTGTTATATCCCTTATTATAGTTTTCTGGTACTATTTTATCTTCACCTAAAACTGAGAAATACTGACTAGCCCATAAGCACTGAGATGAGATGAGATGAGATGAAAGTAACCCTAAACTGCCTAGTCATAATCCTAATCATTTGTCGCTAGATTACTCTGACTTTCAATAGGAAGTGCCAGTGCCAACACTTGAAACAGAGACCTTTAAATCTTCTGTTTATCTCCAGTTCATTAATCTCCTATGTTGACTTGTACAATAAGACATGAGAACAATAAAACTATTCAAAGCAGTTTTCTTTTAAAGAAAATGGTAGACACCTTAAATTGGCTTGAAGTTATGCTTGGATAATTCAGGTGACCAATACAATTTGTAACAATTTATTCTGCATATCTACAATTAATCTTCCTTCAAATAATTTAATATGTCTCTTGATGAAAATGTACTTCAGATATATTTCATAAAATTTTCTAAAACAAATCTCTTTAATCAAAAAGTGCATTAATGTGAAACTGCTTTCAAAGTACCAAGAAATATAGAACAAAATGTTGCCCTGTTTTTTACATGATTATATGAGTCTTCATGTTATCATTTTTGCATTGCAGGTTCTCCGAAATATGGTCCATTGTGCTGATTTAAGTAATCCTACCAAATCTCTTGAACTCTATCGGCAGTGGACAGATAGAATTATGGAGGAGTTTTTCCAGCAAGGGGACAAAGAACGGGAGAGGGGAATGGAAATCAGCCCAATGTGTGACAAGCACACAGCTTCTGTGGAGAAGTCTCAGGTATTTGAATTTTCTCTTTTTCATCTGTCAGGAATGTTCCAATTTAGAATTAATAATGTTGATCTGTTGCCAGTAAGTCTTAGGGAAAGGTATCCTTTAAAAATGCCATGGTAATTCCTCAGAGATTCCTCTCTTTAGCATACCAGATAGATAAATCTCACCTTTTCAAATGCCTTTTGCACTTTTTTCAAAACATACCTGCAGCATTATACATAATCCCTTTTCCAAATTCCACTGAATGAGAGAGGATAATGCCAACACCTTCTAACATCAGCACAAGGAGATTTTGTCAATAGAGGGCAATCTGTTTGCCATAAATCCTACATTATGCTTCTGCAAAACTCTGAAAAGACTACCTGCAGAGCATTTCAGTGATGGTGTTGTTTCACATCAACTGGACCAGTATGTGTTCTTAGCAAGGGCCAAGGTTAGCCAAACATATGCCAGTTTCTGGCTTGGCCCCATTGTTTCTTTTCTGGTAATAAAGTCAGCAAGCAGCAGAGATTTCAAGAATGGAAAAAGTAACTCTTACTCCAACCACTTACGTTTTGCAAAGAAACAGGATGCAGCAACTTTCCTCCATTAGCTGATAGGACATGGTTTTCTATTCTCACTTTTTTCATTTTGCAAGGAAGCAGTCAGTGTCAACTGTGAGCATTTCAGAGCCATTTGATGCTGTGGTTAAGGCATCAGGGTTAGACTTTAGAGGCTTCCTTTACTTGAGCCACTGAGAGACTTTTCGTCAGCTTCTAATTTTCCTTCTGTCTATAAACTACTAAAACTCTCATGTCTGTCATCTTTCACTAGGCAAAATATTCATGATACAGCAAAAATGTTTGAACCAAGCTATCTCAAAATGGATTAACTTATAAAATGCATCCCAAATCCAGGACTCATGTGGAATTGAAATTTGGCAAACTTTATGAAATATTTTATGACATAAAAAATACCATAAAGTATTTTATGACATAATACAAAATGTTGTAAAACATTCCCTGTGGCCAACTCCTGAGGTTTGACTGCTATACAGTTCAGCATTGGCTGTTTTCAAGACAGATCCATCTCTGAATATCTCTTGAATTTTAAATAATTTTTTTTCCAGTAGATTAGAAGCTCTGCCATTGTTAAAGGCATTGAGGAATCTGATAAAGAAATATCTCTGAAACAATGGCCTGAGGGATCATGTGTTGCCTTATGTAATTTAACAGAGGATAATATGAAGGGACTAGCTATAGTGAATTCTCTTAATATTTTTAAAGATGAAATATAGTAGCACTATCATACAGAAAGAAGTTATATCATTAACCAATATCTTCTGTAATTCACTTTGGGATTTTTTTTGGGAGGGGGGGAGGGGTTTGTTTGTTTGTTTGTTTGGTTTTTTGAACCTGAACTAATACTTTACTTAAATTAAAATTAACACTCAAGTTAGTTCTTCCTTAAATTGATGTAAAGAGCAAAAGTTCTCCGTGTTCTGACAAGCAAACAAGGTGATTTCACTACAATGTCTCCACTGAGTATAGGTTACAGAAACTTTTTGTCACTTTTTGGCTTAAGGTACCTTAGCAGTTACAATAGAATTGTACTGGCTTGTTCAACATCCTGTTGTGTCTGAAGGAGTCAAATGTGATTTCCAAACCAAACATCCTAGCCAGAAATGGGTTCCTTTGAAAACTATTTTCCTGTTCTGCTGAATTGCCACCCAGACGTTTTTGGAGTTAAGCAAGGAAATCCAGTCAGACAAGAAACTTTTCCATAGCTTTTATTGTTCATTCACTTTCCTCCAGCCAGTTCATCCTGCTTGTCAACTAAGAATTAATGTTATCCTAAGCTTTATTACGTAATGGCTATTACCAGGAACAGTCATTATTTCCCCTTAAGGCATACATTTCTCCATTACATGATATTATATTCAAGTATGGTAACCATAAATTCCACAAAATAGCAAAATAACATGAAAGTTCTAAACAGATCCCAGAAAAAGTCAGCTTTTTGACACTAACCCTAAAAATCACACCAATTCCAAAGTTTCAGTGAAGTAAAGTGTGCCAGCATTTTTATCTACACTGTTTGTTTAAGTGATACTTGGAGGAGTCATATTTCTCCTTTAAAAAATATATATAGATACCAACAGTTTAGTGAGATGGCAATTTTCATTGAGGTGCATTGTTATAGTAAGCATGTCCAATAAGCATTTCTTGTATAGTTAGATGTCTTTGATTTATACATCATACCGAGTAATTTAAATGTTAATAGGTCCTTTCATAATATATTCTTAAATGTGACAGGCTTGTTAACAGCTTTTCCCCCCGAGTCCTGATATCTTAAAAAATTAGTTACTAACCAGTTTTAATTTTGGAACAGAAACTTAAGAACTCCTCTATGTTCTTCCTCGGAGGAGGAGGAAGGCATCCAAAATTCATTTCAGTTCAAGCAGGCAACAGATGCCACGATTTCCATTACTTCTGAATACCTTAATAATTAAAAATAGCTCCCACTGACAGCACCTTGTAGTTTCTTCATATGCAAATACTGCTATACAGATGTTTCTTATATAATTGCTGCTATAAATTATATAGTAGCAGTGTGACATGATTAAAAAAATAAAACTAACTTACTGAGCAGATGTTTGCTGCTACAGTAGTGGCAGCTTTTAATTTATGAATGTTGTTAGGAGTGCTTTTTAGGGCGAAGCAAGTTATTTGGCCTTTGTCTAATCTGATTCTAGGATAGAAAGAGCCTTGACCTTTTTCGCTTATGCTGAGATTTAGATAATGGGTGGAAAAATCAGTGTTAGCTCCACTGGACATTTGATTGTAATGTTAGACTATCATTTTATGATTGAAGACTGCCAACGCAGAGCTGCATTTGTAGGGGGGCTCTTGGAAATACAGGTGCTCTCGGTACTGATCTGGAAAGAATCGTGGCAACAGGAGTCAGTCAGGAATGCTTTTGTTTAGCTTTGCTAATGCACTGCTTCCTATCTGCATTGCTTCCTGAAGAAAACAAATCTGAGCCAACCATGCCTCAGTCATTTCAGATTGGACCATTTCAGTGTGCTCTATAATTGCCCTTGAAGAGAACCCGGAAGCCTCAGCTGGTACAGTTATCTGCACTCCTAGAACAGCGCATGTTATATCCATGCTCTGCAAGTGCGTAGATTGCCAGTTTGCTTCCAAGTCCAATTCAGGGTGCTGGTTTTGACCTTTAAAGCCATTCATGGCCTGGAGCCAGGCTGTCCAAGGGACCACTCCAGCCCACTCCATTAGATCTTTTCTGAAAAGTGTCCTGCAGATATTATCAACTGCAGATCTTCATTTGGTGGGCCCCAGGAAATGCGCCTTCCTTTCCTTGGTGCCAGCCTCGTGGAATATAATTTCCCCCCTGGAATTAGATTAGCTTCATTGCTTTTGATATTCCAAACACCCTCAAGACTTAGTTATGTTGTCAGGCCTGAGACTCCCAGGGAAACCAAGACCGTGCTTAGATAGCTCCATTGTTAAGCTGGCTATTCTTATCCTTTCTTCACGTAGGGTTGTATTGCTTTTTTTATAATATTTGCTTTTAATGTGATTTTACCCATTGGTTGTGAGCCATCTAGAGTTGCCTTTGGTAAGATGAGTAGCTATATAAATTTGAGTAATAAATAAAATAAAATAAATAAATTTGGCCATAATGATCCACGCCCAACAAAATTTCCCCAAATGCACAGAAAGCAATATTCTTCTTTAATATCAGCATTCTGGTTTTGACAATTCCCCTCTAGACAGGTTAGATCAGTCCCTCTTTACATATATCATAACAGCAGAGATTATATGACCCTATCTAGTTTTTCATGGTTTTTAGTATTCACTTGGTTTTATTCTTTTAAAAAATTGAGTGGTTTGTTAGATAATAAATAAATACTAATATAGTTTCTAGTTGCTTAAAATGTAAGGCTGAGAGAAAATTCATAAGTATTGAGTATAAATAACATTTCATTACAAATTGATTGTACTTGCATTGCAGGTGGGATTCATTGATTATATTGTTCATCCACTTTGGGAGACCTGGGCAGACCTAGTACAGCCCGATGCTCAAGATATTTTGGATACCCTGGAAGACAACCGTAATTGGTATCAAAGTATGATCCCTCAGAGCCCTTCCCCTCCCCTCGAAGAACGCAGCCAAGACTGTCAGGGCCTGATGGAGAAATTCCAGTTTGACCTTACTCTTGAAGAGGAAGACTCCGACGGGCCTGAGAAAGAGAGTGACAGTATCCATTACTACAGCAGTACCAAGACACTTTGTGTCATTGACCCAGGAAAAAGGGATTCCCAGCAGGACACTAATATAGAGATTGTGACAAAAGATGCATCGCTGATTGATACTTAACATTACTGTATCCGTCATGGTGATTTTATTCATGCACATGAAGATTGTCTCGTGTGCTATAGCCTGAAAGTCTAGCTGTTAGGCCAGCACCTGTTATTGGCTAGAAGACTTTCCAATTACTCGAGATTGGAGCCAGGGTTACAGAGTGTGTAATGACTGCTCAGGAATTAACAGGTGATATCTACTGCAGCTTAAGTTGTATCAGCCAAAAACAAAATAAACCTGGTGATAGGGAGGCAATGTGAGCTGTTACTGAACAAGCCTGCTAGGGAATGACACACAATCATCATATTTTCTATTCTTAATAGATTCTGACATCTGGTTCGGTCCAACAGCTCAAAATACTCTTTCGTAATTTTGCATTTCAAATTTGTGCACCTGTCTCAGACCTGTGTGCCTTTTTTATAAACACTTCCACATCTTTTCGAGACACCTACTAAATACACAACAAAACTTGTTTGATACCAATATATATTTTATATGATTATTAATCCTGTTTAATGAAGAAAGTCTTCCTCTCTACGGGCAATACTTGTGTTTTACCGCAGTTTAATTGTTTTGACTCACTAAATAAAACAGGGTGCCCTCCCTCCTTGCATTACTGCATCACTGGTCACTTTATTAGCCCCACAAAAATCTACATTTCTCCTGTGTGACTTGCCACACATGAACAAATGGTTTTCCATTCAACTGTTTTCGACTTTTGTTCTACACAGGATAAAGTAGCTTTGTATTCATTAGACAACGCAGAACAGATAAAAACCAACATGTTGTAATATGGTGGACAATCTCCCCTTTAAAAAAAACAAAACTCAGTGGAATTTTTGTGTTTGGTCCTACTGTGCTCCCCCCCCCCTCCATTCTTCATGTTCGCTAGGCTGAGTCTCCTTTTCTTCTCCTCAACTTGCCTTGACCTATTATATGTCCAGTACTGTTTATAACAGTGTATTTATTATGTATTGTATATAATGTAATGTTTTGTAAGTATTAATTTATATAAATTAACATTGCCAGTCAGTGGTGATGTTATTTGTGTAGAAGACTCTGAATGAGAGTTGCCTTTCTTGTAATTTTTTTGTACTGCGTAAAATGGAAAGAACCTGAGCACAGTGAAAGAGACATATGGAACCCAGACAGGGCATTCAGGCATTGGCTCCCATTGGATTTCATTTTCATTTAGATTCTGGAAATCGGGGTTAGGTAACTGGTGAGGATTTAGGAATTTCAGCAGAAATGAAATGATTGGAATGTGGAAAAGGACACGCCCAGTCAATGCCACAAAACCTTCTGTCATTTTCCAATTTTTAAAGCAGCCAATGTGAGTTTCTATGACAAAATGTGAACCGATACTATACTTGTGCTGTGAAACTTCTTCCAACAAAGCTTGTGAGGCATGTATACAGTGCCGATTTTGTAAAGCTATGTTTCAGGCTTTCAGTCCAACTTGTGACTAACTAGTTGATGAAAATAGCACAGCTGTGCATGATACATGGGTTTATATGTCTGTTGAACACTGCATTGTTCCAGGTGGTTATTTTATTGTTTGAAAGTTTCACACAATATATGTTGTTATAGTATTATATATTGTGTTGAGATGCATTCTGAAGAGATTTTTATATGAAGTGAATAAATGAAAGCATGATTTAGTCTGGACTTTTCTGGATGGTCTTTTCAGGTAAACAGACACGACGCACCCAACTTCCTTCAATCTACCTTAGTTTTTATATGTTTATTCAAATATAAGAAATACATTCACTTGAAACTAAATTACCTATATTCTTATACTATGGATATTAAAACTGCAAATAATACAAAATGCCATAGCATAGCACAATTAAAAGTCATTTCCTTATCCCAAATTGATTATTTTTACAGTCTCAGAACACTGAAAATACATCTAGACTACCATGAGCCAAACATTTCCCTTTCTGGCTGAGGAAGAATCCAAGGCCAAGAATATAATTCAATCAGTACTTATCCCTGGTTCTGCTACAACGAAAATCCTCACAGCTTCATTCCACACAAAAGGAATAAAATAAATTACCAGCACCTTCCACATTTGGCATTTTTAGCCAATATTGTTGTTTGTATTTGTCCCATCATTTGCAAAATTTAAAACAATAATATTAAATATGCACAGTTGCCGTAGGAAAATGCCTCAGTTGCAAAGCCTCCCTTTTTCTGCATACAAACACACCATAGTGAACAGTTAGGGTGAAACAAGTACACGTTGGTACCATTCCAACCAGATGGTTTTCCCATTTACTAGAAACATGGTTGCACGGAATGGCGGGGTTTGGAGACAGAGCTATTAATAGCCATCAGGAACCAAGTGACATGATAGCAATGTTCCAATATCTAAGGAGCTACCCCAAAGAAGAGGGGGTCAATCTATTTTCCAAAACACCTGAAGGCAAGACAAAAAGTAAAGGGTGGAAACTAATCAAGGAGAGAAGCAACCTAGAACTGATTTCCTAACAGTTTGAACAATTAATCAGTAGAGCAACTTGCCTTCAGAAGTTGTGAGTGTTCCAACAGTAAGTGATTAGACAATCATCTGTCTGAAATATAGGGTTTCCTGCCTGAGCAAGGGGTTGGACTAGAAGACCTCCAAAATCCCTTTCAAGTATGTTATTCTGAATATAGGGCAAGCAAAGCCAATAGGTAAGGGTTGCTCTGAGCTAAAGAGCCAGGAAGTGGTATGAGGCCAGAGTTCCTATCAGTGAGAAAATATCTTACAGACTCTGCAATGGTGCAGCTTTGTAAGGGAGAAAGCCAACTTTGTTGTGGTTTTCAATAAACCAGCACTGAGCTTGAAAGAATTCAATCTGGTTCCCAGACAAATCTAGACAAAACAGAAGTCTATAGTTACTTCTGACTTGTAGAATTTAGAGGCACTCAGACAAATATCTTCAAAAATCTAGCAAAACAAGCAAATCATAACCTCTCCAGAAATGGAATAAAATCCCACTTACTTTGCAGCATCGTTCTGACTACTGTGGTCTTTCCCCTTTCCATAACCAACGTTTGCACAACACTGAATCAAAACAAATCACACAACATGCTACACCAAAATCAAACCCCATTATGTTTAATGCAAAGAGGTAAACTTATACAACATGGCAAGCCAGCATGTGTTTACTTTTTCAGGAGATATTAAATGTGATTGTTACCAGTGTCTACTTCTACATGTGTAGTCATGTATAATAAGCTATCATGGCAAAATCAAAACCAAATTAGAGTGTCATTATCCAGGGTGTGTGTGTGTTGTGTTGTATAAGAAAGATAACTTTGATTTAGTGTTTAGTCTGAATAAGGACTATACCCTAAACAAGACTAACTTTGAAAGTACAAAATTAATCTAAATTCAAGTAAGTAAATGAACACGTACATAAAGTGTAACTTCACTCATTTACTAGTAAGTCAGTCCTCAGAAAAGAATACCTTTGTAACTGAGTAAATTCACTTACGCTTGTTCTATCATCTTACCAGGCTGGCAAAAAATGTTTTGTACAGTTAAGATGGAAAGAAATTATATCTATTTCATGGAGGTTAATTATAGACATTATACCAACTGCATAACAATAGGAAAGACACTTCAGATTTCTTTTGCAATTTCTGTTTCCTCTGTGGTCAGAGCAGCTATCATACTAATAGTTACTCCTTAACAGCAAAGCAAATCATCACTAGCATTTTTTACATGTGTATTTTCATCTTTCCAAGATTGGCAAGGTTAAAAAAAAAAAGGCACAGCAGGGACCCTAACAATTCTCTTTTTTACTATAGAGTACAATAAATAGAATTGTGAATCTAAATTTCTCTCCGCTTCCTCTTATAGCAAACAAAATTAAGGCCAAGTTGTTTTGATTTTCTTTCTCACACTTTCCTCTTACTCAGAACTAATATCTTTTTAAAGTCCCTCTGTAATGAATTGTTCATTTGTCCCTCAGTCAGAGGTCTACATCCCTTCACCTACTCTGAACCACATTTCAGTTCATATGCTGTGTGAAGCCAGTTTGTGGTTAGTGGACATGCAGTTTGAAGTAATGGAACATTCTGAGCTTAAGTGACCCTAAGTAAGTATATCTTTAAACATGATTATTATAAATAGAAACCCAGTTGTACAGTTACAGTAGCACAACTACTGTATAAAACAGGCTTCTCCAAACTAGTGTCTTCAAAAGGAATTGGATTTCAACTTGTGGAATCCCCCATCAATCATAGAGGAGTTTGGAATTATGGGAACGGATCCAACCCATTTGGAGGTTATCAGCTGATGGGAACTTATATAAAGGTTTTTTTTTTTTAAAAAAAAATAGTGCTATTTACTCTACTCACCTTAGAAAACTCTGATCCATCTTTCTCCACATTTTCCATTCTGATGGAAACACAATTCTACTGATATTTAATAGCATGACATTCTTCTCCTGCAATCGCAGCAATGCTTGACACTCATCTTATCATCGTAGATATTCCTAAGAGGCAGCATCAGACAGATAATGTTGAAGGACACAACTGGGTATACCTCGTCATCCATTTTACTTTCTTGGCTGTCCTCAGGTGCCCTGTTGTCAAGGTAGAAGTAAGAGTCAGTGTCAATTGGATTAGCTTTCCTACTTGAGAGTAGGAATGCCAATTTGGTATTCATTAAGAGTAGCAAATGCCTCATTGGTCCTGACAGTATATGCCAGAGGTCTCCAAGCTTCGCAACTTTAAGACTTGTGGACTTCAGCTCCCAGTATTCTCCAGCCAGCTGGGAGTTGAAGTCCACAAGTCTTAAAGTTGCCAAGTTTGGGAACCCCAGATATATGCCTTCAAGTCAATGTTGACTCCCAATGACTGCCTAGACAGTTTCTTGGCAAGATTTTCAGCAGTGTTTTGCCAATGCCTATTCCTGGGGCTGAGAATATGTGACTGGCCCAAGGTCACCCATCAGGATTTGTACCTACGTTGAGACTAGAACTCATAACTTCCTGGTTTCTAGCCTGGTGCCTTAATCACCACAACAAATGGGCTTTCTAGGATTTATATAACACTTCTGAACGTTTAAAACAGGCCAGACATTTATTTTATTCTTGTATGGATTTCTCCTTGGTTCTTACCTGTTCTCTGCCTTACTGAATTTTCTTTTTAAAAAAAAGTTTATTTTAAATGCTGAACAGGAGTGGTTTTTAATATCTTTAAAAGAGTAGTGTTCC